GGAATTCAGCCGTTGTTAATTTTTACACCAGTACCACCTTGTCCTACAATGACACATCAAAATGGCTGCTCTGAAAAAGACAAACACTTAAAGGGTAACTTTTTTAAATGTGTGTGTATTGTGAAACAGCCTGCAAAGTAATCATTTAGGGCATTTGTGCATTGTCAGTGGTTCAGATTATTACTCTAAGTATCTGACATCATTAATGAAAGGATCCCTACAGAGGTTGACCTTTTTGTGGAAGAGTGAGATCCTTTTTGTTGATCAGAAACAGCCTTGAAATCGCCATCGCCAAACCAACCAGACTCTATTTAAATAAACAGTCATTTTACAGTGCATAGAGCCAGTATATCTTCACATCTAAGTGGGTGAATTAAGGGTTGAGCAGGTGATTGTTGGAACAGTGCAAAGACGAAGTAAGGCAGCTTTTGTTTTTGTTGTTTTTTATTTTGTTCTTTTGACCCTAAATAAAGTGTGTTTCATGATGATAAAATTACTGTTTATTTGAATGGAGTCTGCTGGGTTTGGAGATGTTGGGGCTGTTTCTGGTTCAACAAATAGGATCCTACTGTTTAACAAAAAAGTCTTTCTCTGTAGGGGCCCTTTCCATAAATTGTCAGACACTTAAAATAACAATCTGAGCCTGTCAGTGGCAAAAACAAGCACTTTAAGTAGATGTAAATTGACGGTGTGCCATTGCCTATTACAGCCTGTTTCGCAGTGGCTGGTTGATGCACTCTCACTCAGTACTGGACCAGTTTCAAAAACAGTTGTTTCCATCGGTCTCTTACACACAAAACATGGGAATATAGGCACTGTCGCCTCACAGCAAGAAGGTTCTTGGTTCAAACCCAAGGGTGTGGGAGCCATTCTGTGCAGAGTTTGCATGTTCTCCCTGTGTCAGTGTGGGTTTCCTCCAGGTACTCCAGCTTCCTCCCACAGTCCAAAGACATGCAGGTTAATTGGTGACTCTAAATTGACCGTAGGTGTGAATGTGAGTGTGAATGGTTGTCTGTCTCTATGTGTCAGCCCTGTGATAGTCTGGTGACCTGTCCAGGGTGTACCCAGCCTCTCACCCAATGTCAGCTGGGATAGGCTCCAGCAACCCAAAAACCCCCAACAGGATAAGCAATTATAGAAAATGAATGAATAGGTATAATTTTACATTTAATAAGGGCACAGATGTGAGGGCAGACAGGGGAATCTGCCCCCCTTCAATGTTTAAGTGGAGCTTTTTAACTTTTGATGGAAAAATAATACATTATTTATAAGTTAAGTTGAGTTCATAAGCAATAAAAAACAGTTTTTTCTCAATTCAGACACAGGCTTTTCCCCGCAGTCTTACTTGGTTCAAGATTACCAGTAGATCATGGTGGCTAATCTAAGCATCTAGGTATCGTTGTGTAGTTAATTTGCTGACTTATGACCCTTTTCTTCTTGTACTACCGTTATTGTTACCATAGAGGTAACTGTGTAGTAAACGTTATACAGGGGTCACTTTAAGGGAAGAGCTAAAGTGTCTCCTGGATCTTTTCTGCCTCAAAGACATGTCATTAGCTTCATTATACTCACATCACACTTCCAGCACTTTGTGTGTAATGTAGCAAATATTTACCCAGTCAGTGGCTGTGTTTGTCTTGGAGCATTTCATAATCATTGATAACTGATATTAAATAAGATCTAAGTTTGGGCGTCTTCCACTTGGAATAACAGGTATTGTGGAGTCCCTCAGGTGCTGCTTCTGTCCAGCAACGTCACTGAACTGCTGAACTTAGAGGAGCAGGAGTTACTCAGGTGTCACATCCTGTGCATTTTGATTCTCAGGGAACAGGACAGTCTGTGTTTCATTTATAAAGCTGTAATAAGGTTCTGGAAATACAGCTATTGAAATTTCGCCTAACTTGTATGTAGCCTAAAGATATCATTTTGCATAGTCCATTTGCATCACCACATCATCACCTTTGGATATCACAGTTCAAGTCTCCATCCATAAATAGATGTACAAGCAGTTAGTAAGAGATACAGTCATTAAAGGTAATGTAGTACGTTGTCAATACAACTTCCCACACCTCAGAAGGGATCAGTGAAACAGCTGTTAAAGTTCTCCACCTGTAATGAAAGTAAAAGAAATTACAGCATTTTGTTATTTAATTTGACTTTGAGGAAAAAAGTTGTGGATTTTTATTCTGTGAGGAGTTATAACAACCGGACTCAGATGTAGTCTCTGTGCTAAATGTAATACAACAATTTGTATTATTACTGTTACCGTGTTTTTATGCCATATTTGCTATCTGAACATGCATCAGCAGGCAGCTTAGTTAGTAAAAATAATAGCAATAAAAAGAGATACAAGGCTAAAAGAGGTGGTGGAATGTTGCTATAATTGATAAGTACATGTACTTAAGTACAGTTTTGGAGGTACTTATTCTTTATTTGAGAATTTTACATTATATATATATGTATGTATGATTTATGTTGAATTCTTCACAAGAGTTATTGTAAAACTGAAGTATTTAGTTACTTTGCAGATTCAGATTATTAACACAGAAGATAAAATTAATAGATTAAACTAGAAAAGCACTCAGAGAGTGCAGACCTCCGCCAAGTAGGTGATATTCCCTCCCCCTCTGCATCAGATTTTGCAGCCTACATCACAATTAGGTTATTTGCATCACTATCATTATTAGGTTATATATGCCTTCACCATGGAGACACTGTGGTGTATTTATTTTGTTTTTATTTTGTACCAACACAGAATATAATGGGTTTTTTTGTATTTTTCACTTTCCTTTTTTTCCAACACAGAACATTAATTTCAACTTTAGAATTACAACAATATTTAGCAAGTAGAAGAAGATGTGCTTTCCGGCCACCAGATGGCGCTATTTTCACCATCTTTAGAAATTGGAATTGCAGCTGAGGCTGTCAGACGATAGACTTTATTCATTATTTTATCCACTTTGCTTCAACCGAGCACCACCAAAATTTTTTCATCTGTTCCTTGTCCCATTATCCACCTTTCCTGAAAATTTCATCAAAATCTGTTCATAACTTTTTGAGTTATTTTGCAGACAAACAAACAAACAGACAAACAAACACACAAACAAACAGACAGACCAACACCGGCGAAAACATAACCTCCTTGGCAGAGGTAATTATGATATATTATTATAGACGACGCTACCCAGCAGTATACCCCCATTGTCATAAACATTAAAGTGATGAACACATGAATGCATTCATAATTGTAATCCAGTCATATAACATACATTGTTCTGTATAATGAGTACGTTTACTTTGGTATTTTAAGTGTAAATCATATGCAGGACTTTTACTTGTATTAGGGTATTTTTACCTCTGCCAAAGAGGTTATGTTTTCGCAGCGCTGGTCTGTTTGTCTGTTTGTTTGTCTGTTTGTCTGCAAAATAACTCAAAAAGTTCTGAATGGAGTTTGATGACATTTTCAGGAAAGGTTGATAATGGGACAAGGAACAGATGATAAAATTTTGGTGGTGATCAGTTGAAGCGAAGTGGATAAAATAATAAAATGGCGGGAAATCCGAGCTGCTTGGCGGAGGTCTGCACTCTCCGAGTGCTAGTTACATTGTGGTATTGCTACTTGTTAGTAAAAGATCTAAGTGCTTCTTCCACTAGTGGAAAAAGGTTCATGGCGCAAAAGAGGCAAATAATGCAAAACAATAAAAATGAATTTGAACCAAAATGAAAAAGAACCTATAATGTGGCAGGTGTTTCATATGAAATTCACATTTTGCTTACCTCCTACCCAAGTTAGTTTAGTCGGTAACCCTTTCACACATAGTGGTCACTACAGTGAACAACTATTTAAAAGCAATTTTCTTGTATGTATTGGTTTAATACAAAAGTTGCTGATGAGTGGACCCCAATGCGTGATGCTGTACACTGTCACCCACTCACCAGGTGTTGTAAGTGCAACACACATTAGAAAACCAAGATGGCCGATGGAAGGCAGCAGATGTTGTGCAGCTCAGGAATATCTTGCCAGTCCTTCTATAATAGGAAACCCTTGCAGGTAAATAAAATTTGGTAACATCAAGCAACATCTGAGGAGCAATACAGTTGTAAAAATTTTCAAGTATTGATTTCATGTTGGGAGGAAGTTTATAATTATTCATCTGTCCACTAAACTGGACATCAGCATATTATTATATTTTATAAAAACTACAATTAATACTATTACTGCAACTTTGTTGTTCTTTAATCTGCAGTGACTTTTTGTGCTGTAATTCATTTAATTTATGTTATTACAGTGTAACTTGCAGGTTTTGTTACAAAAACAATATTTTGACAATATTTTTGTGTCTTTGTAGAAAAAGTTAATTGGAAATATACAGTTCAACAGGGGGAGGTGTGACGAGGGGCCTGAAGAGTAAAGAGCCGAGAACTGAATCAGGGAGGGAGAGGAAGGGGACAGGAAGGAAAAGTAGAAAAAGAGAGGGGAGAGGCTGAGGAGTCAGGAGCATATGTTAAAATATATGAACACACTAGTTTAACAGCATTAAAGCTTTATTTTTAGTTTCACATAATATATTATTTTTTTATTGGTTTATATTTTTTCAGTTCAAACTTCAACTCATGCTGAGTGAATATGTAAAAAAAACTTCCTGAAAATTAAAATTTTCCCCCACACCTAAAGAGGAGTAAACATCTTGACTGAGGTATTCATAATTTATGCATGAATGAGTCAACGTTACCTATAATTCCCACAGCACCTAAAAGCATCTAAAATGCCTCACAACCAGAATAAAGTTTTTTAAAAGATTTAAAATTTAAAACAGAGTTTATAAGTTTACCACGACAGACTGTCACAAGAGGCCAACACCTGAGCACACCTGATATAATCTCTATAAATAAAGGCAGGTGAATTGAACAGAAATGTCTCGAGGACAACTTCCTGATGACGCGAGCCACCTATCGAGCCGCGCATGCGCAGAGGCCCAGTGTCACAGCACCATCAGGAGCAGGAGCAGCAGCAGCCGACGGGGAGACACGGGAGCTGTCGTGTTGTTTATTTCACACTATATAAACTTTTCTCCACCATGTCGGGATTTGACAGTAACCCCTTCGTGGACCCAGTGGACGTGAATCCCTTCCAGGTGAGACTCGGGTTTGGTTTCTGAGTTTTTAAGAAGCTTTTTTTTATCGTGTAAAGTGAGTGAAAGAGATATGCTGCAACAGAACCTGTTTGGTTGGTTGCTGGGTTTGGCCTCAGCATTTCCTGGCTAAGAAACGTCACTATTATCAAGTATGACACGTTGTAGTCCATTTATAGTCTGTATTTAAGGATTGTCTGTGTAACTGCGTGTTTACGCTGTACGTGGGCTGGTAACTCACCTGCGCAGGTAAGCAGACCCACGAACAGGTGCCTGCTGACATGTAGCCATCATGTGTGGCTGTTGTTCAACCCGCCATTCATGGAAACCAACAGATAGATCTCATAAACCTGATCCCTCATGGAGAAATGTGTAATTTAATGGCGCACTTTAGGTTTATAATGTTTTTATGATGTGTGTATTTAGTCAAGGTGTCACATCCCAGTGTTTCCATGTCTTATAGCTCCAGGAGATAATGGTTACAAGTGAACATATGTCTTTGTGACATATTTACATAAAGAAAAACACCTTTTTTGCTTGTTCAAACCTGAGAAACTGTGTTATAACTGAGACATGTGTGGTCCAGGGCCAAGAGTCTATGAATAGTTAATGTAGTGTGAGGCGAATAACTGCTCTTCCTGGACTGGTTGGGACTCTGTGGCACACTGGTTAACCCACACATGGCAGCAAAGTTACAAACTGAAGGCTTCACAGCAACAAGACCACAAATAACATCATTATAACAATTATTCGTATTGTCAGTGAAATGAAAATAGTGGAAACATGCCCTTATTTAACCCAGAGCTCAGGATGATGTCTTCAGATGTTATGTTTAATCTGACCAATAAAAATCCAAAGCTGTCCAGCTATTTAAGAAGCATTAGTAAGCAAATGCTTGGCTTTTTTGTTTAAAAATTACTAAAGCAATCATTTGATTATCAAAATAATTGCCAAATAATATCAATAATATCAGCATGTCATCGGTGTCGGCTGATATCGGCTTTAAAATGAAATCTTCACACCCACCTCTACTGAATCAAGATGTGGTACACATGAACCACTAATGTGACTGGCTGATCCTCTGATATACCATCCTTCATCTACGACCGTATCTAGCACACTGAAAAACCTGATGCAGAAAAATTCAAGACTGTTATCACTCAAACAAGTTGGTGCCATGGGCAGAGTTAGCTTCATACTTTATTCACACTAAAAATCTTTAACTGCAAAAACCCCCCAAAACACCTCTGCTTTTGTTTGACTTTTTACACCACATTTATTTGACAGTTATGGTTACTGCTAGGAATGCACGATATCGGCACGTCATCGATATCGGCCGATATTGGCTTTAAAATGAGCTAACAGAGTCGCCCATCATGCTTTTCCCCTTTTGCACAATGAATGAATGAATATTACATACCTTGAAAAACATTGTATTTCATGTCTTCATCTGCTGGTGGGCTGTCATGATAAGAGTATGCATGTATAATGAGGTCGACTGATATGTTTTTTCAGAGCTGATGCCAATGCTGATTATTATGAAACGGAGATACCAATAGCCGATATTTACAACCGATATATGTGTGCTGTAAAAATCATAGTTGACACAGAATTAAGGAAACACCATAGGCAGGATAAAAACTCAGAATAAAGAACAAAATTTTAGATCTTTCAATAAATAGGAAAATAAATAAAGTTAAAAATAAGTAAATAAGTAACAAAGTTGAAGAATATGCCAGCTAAATAATAACAGATTAATAAAAATAAATAGATAAATACACAATTATCATAAATACAAAATTTCAACAAAAGAAAAGAAAAACAACAATAATAAAAAAAAATAAGATAATAAAATGAAATAAAGGAGAGGTCAGGCCAGGCTAAAAAGATAGGTCTTGAGTTTGCTTTTAAGAGCCTAGAGTGGTACGTGCATGCAGTGAGAAGCACGCCAGGGGCAAAACAGTGCAGCTAAGGAAAACAAAACTGTATATCGGCATATCGGTGGAAAAAATCACAGATACCGATAACCCTAAAAATTCATAATATCGGCCCCGATTATCGGCCAGGATGATTATCTGTCAACTCCTAATGTATGATATGATGTTAATTCTGCAACAGAAGAGACTTAATGATCACTAAAATTAGGTAGAGAAAAAGTGGATGCATTGATATCTGTATTGGTTATCGGCCAAATGAGTTGTTATTTAGTGACATATTGGATATCGGCAAAAAAATCCAATATCTTGTGTTCCTCAATTAATTTTCTGTCAGTCGACTAATTGATGAATCAACTAATCATTGCAGCTCTGATGTTTCTGGATCAAGCTAGCTGTCGATTTGTGGTCAAACCATCTGTAAATGCACTAAAATGGCCCAGGATACACATATGACTACATCCACTTTTCAAAATAAGTCGTTAACACAGTAAAAATACATGTATGAGAATAAGATTAATTGAATTATATTTACAGGAAGTTAAAACATGTTTCTTGTGTCACCTATAAATAAATAAATGTACATCCCTACTAAATTTGCACTGTAAGGACAGAAAAGTATTTTTAAAGTAATTTTTTACTTAAGGTCTAAACTAGGAATTGTTTTAAAAGGTACAATATGTGGGATTGTGGCTTATTGTTAGTAAACGTGCTAGCCAGCCATAATAAAGATTAATTGGATTAGAGTCACAGGAAGTTAAATCACATTTCCTGTGTCCCTTTTATGAATAAAGAAATGTGAAGGAAAGTACTTAATTCTTTGATGTTGGGTTGACATGACGGTTATTATTGGACCCTGCAGTCATCCAAAAACCTGGGGAATACAGCACTTGTTGGCTCAGAGTGATATGAAGGCCCTAGCTCTACTCAGCAATATTTCATAACACATTATGCTCTTTCACAGGATGACTCAATCACACAAGCCACCAGCGGAGCCACTGACAGCGTCGGAGAGTTCAACCCATTCTCTGCCACTGACTTGGTTAGCCCTTCTGTTTTTAATATAAAGACTGATGTGATGTTTTTCCATATCATTGAGAGGGAGTTAAGATATTAAAAAAGCAGTGTTTGTCCAATCGTCTCACAGGGAAGCCACTCTGGCACGACCATCCCCATCTCTGCTGCCTCCACTCAACCCGCCATCCTCCCGACCTCTGTGGAGCAGACCCCACAAGTGAGTCAGACACACATTTACAGATAAAGGACATTAAATAAGAAGGTGTGAAATCACATTTCAGCCCTTTATATGTCAGTTAAGATGAACTAACCAGAGTGCAATCAGTCTTTGGGGGTTGACCGTGGCTTTTAATGTGCAGAACAATAGACGAGGACAATAATGATAACAACCTTGTGTTTATGAGTTAATGAGTGAATTGTGGAGTAGACTTCTGACCACTGGTGAATTTTTGAGGCTGGTATCGATATTTGAGAGTTTATAAAGAACAGATAAAAACACATAGGCTGATGTAGGACTCTTTTTACGTGAACACATAGTACAAATGCAGTCGTGGAGTCTAAAATACTTGAAGTAAAAGTCCTGAATTCAAAATGATACTTGAGTAAAAGTACAGATGTTTTACCACCAAAGTATCAACAGTAGAAGTACTCGCAACGCAGAATGGCTCCTGTCACCATGTTGTATTATCATAGAATATTATATTATTCTGTTTTTATCATTAACTAATACATGTAAGAGCATTTTAATGTTATAGTTTGTTCATGTGGAGCTTATTTTAGATGCTTTGTGTACTTACTGAACAGATTAGTAGTCCAAAACTGAGTCATATCAAATAAGCATAGCGTGTGTTTTTATGCCTCTGTGTCGGCAACAGCCATGACCAGGGACAGTATGTTCTTGGGTTGTCTGTATGTCCGTCCCATTCTCAAATTTGGCACAAACGTCCACTTGGACTCAACAATAAACTGATTAGATTTTGGTGCTTAAAGGTCACTGGGACCTTATCAAACATGATTCTTATGAAAGCAGTTTTTTTCAAGAACACCTAGAAGAAATTTCTTCATATTTGGCACAAACGTTCACTTTGACTCAAGGATGGACTGATCAGATTTTGGTGTTCAAAGGTGTAGGTCACAGTGACCTCACCAAACATGTTTTTGGCCATAACTAAGGAAATCATGCACTAATTCTGACAAACACAAACACAATTCTAACAGCATAGATTGATGAAGTGATGACATTTTATATCCACAAGGTCAAATGTCAGCTTCACTGTGACGTCATCATGTTCTGCAAAACACTTTTCTGGCCGTCATACAATGCCAAAACTCAGGAACAGAAGGGGAGACATTTGGTCAGAAACTGAATTGGTGACTCTCATCTTGGGTGTCCATCTTTAAACTTTGCTGTTGGGGGGGGAGAATGTGTGTGAAGCATCCATGTTTTCACCGCCATGGATGTAAACTGTAACTGCAACTTGACTGGTTTGTAGAGGCATACAGCCGCAGGGCAGTAATTCCAGTTTGTGTAAAAAGTAATTAGTAACTATAGCAACTAGAAGTTTCAGGTAAAAGCAGCAGAGCACAATATTTACCTCTGAGATGTTGAGTAGCAGTGTACAGTAGCATAACATGAAAATAGTTTAAAAAAAGCACAAGCATGCCAAGATTGTATGTAATTACAATACTTGGGTAAATGTAACATTACATTTTGATTATGATTACTGTGACACAAGAATTTGGACCCAAGTATGTTTATTTTACACATCCTCAGATGAACAATCAACTTGCCAGAGCTCTTTTGTACAATATTTTGTCTCTTATCTGCCACCGTAGTTGTCAATGCCACTGTATCTGTAATTAAATGAAATTGGGTAGAGCATCAACACAGTGACGATATATATTTTATTTTGATATTTTAGTTTTTAGATCTTAAGTACTACTGTTAAACATGGTGGTATAATGTGCATTTTATTTTTATTTTAATGCACATTTAATTTCAATTTTAATGCTCTATAGTTACATCCTTTTACTCTTCTTACTTCTCAGTATTTCTGATTCTGATTCTGATGTCAGTGTAGTAGTAGTGATCACAAAATCTGTATAGCATTTGGTCTCAGGAGGAGCTGGAGTCTCACACAGCAGAATAAGGTGTGGAGTGGTTATACTGCTGCCTGTGGTGAAGCTCATGAATTTCCCATCACAGTGCTGCTAGGTGGAAAAATGCACAGGGAGTTGTAGTGATGCAGGGACGATACTTAACACAGTGTTAAGAGTGCAGCTCTTTCATCACCCACTGTCAGGCAAATGCAGCTGCTGGCCAGGCTAAACTGATCAAACAGCAGGAGGAGCTGGAGAAGAAAGCAGCCGAGCTGGAGCGGAAGGAGCAGGAGCTACAGAACAGGACCGGAGGCACAGCGGTCAACACCGGTGGTAAGTAGTTGTCTTAGAGGTTGCATGTAAACTTGTGTCATATGTACGAATGATAATCGACACACAGCTCACAACGTTAATCCACCTCTGATTTCTTTTGTCTGTCAGCTAAAGAGAACAACTGGCCACCTCTTCCTAAGTTCTCCCCCGTGAAGCCCTGCTTCTATCAGGACTTTGAGGAGGAAATCCCGGAGGAGTATCGCAGGATCTGCAAGAGAATGTACTACCTCTGGATGTGTAAGTACATCTGAATGCAGTGTTTGCTTTGTACCTGATGGTTTGGAATGTCAGAGTTATTGATCCATAAGATAGGATGGTTGACATGTGATGGTTTTGGTATGTTAACAAGTCTGTCTCACTTTAAAACTTGTATAGCACTTTTCTAGTCTTCTGACCACCTAAATGCTTTTATACTGCGATTCACCAATCACACAGGCATTCAGACACTGGTGGCAGAGGCTACTGAACATGGTGCAACCTGTTATTCGGTAACCATTCACACGCACTCTCACACCAATGGAACAGCCATCAGGAGCATTTTAGGGTTCAGTATCTTGCCCAAGGATACTTTGACATGCAGCCTGGAGGAGCCCAGGGATTGGACTGCCGATCTTCTGATTGGTGGACAATCCGCTCTACCATCTGAGCCACAGCTGCCCCTATTATACCTGCAGAGCGTAGGTTTGGAAGGGGTTTGGCAAGACACCTGCCTTGTTCATGGACTCATAGCAGTGCGCCACTGCATGAATAAGAATCGATATTTAGTGTTATGGGCAGTACAGTGATGCAGTGGTTAGCATTGTTGCCTCACAATAAGAGGGTTCCTGGTCCAGACTCAGGGTGGGGGGTTCGAATCCAGGGGTGGAGAAGTCATTATATGTGGAGTTTGCATGTCAGCGTGGGTTTTCTCCAGGTACTCCAGCTTCCTCCCACAGTACAAAGACATGCAGGTTAATTGATAACTCTAAATTGTCCGTAGGTGTGAATGTGAGTGTGAATGGTTGTCTGTCTCTATGTGTCAGCCCTGTGATAGTCTGGTGACCTGTCCAGGGTGTACCCTGTCTCTCACCCAGTGTCAGCTGGGATAGGCTCCAGCCCTTGGCAACCCCCAACAGGATAAGCCTTTACAGATGATCACTACAAAAATACACTCAACTTCTTTATTTGTTAGCTATTCAAAAAAGGTGTGTGTTTATCCACGTGTTGATGTCTTTGATGGTAGTCTAGCTCAGTGTTTCCTGTGTGTCTCCACAGTCCACAGTGCCACTCTCTTCCTCAACGTGCTGGCCTGCCTGGCTTACTTCACTGCAGACGCAGCAAATGGTGTTGACTTCGGTCTGTCCATCCTCTGGTTCATCCTCTTCACCCCTGTGGCCTTCATCTGCTGGTACAGGCCTGTCTACAAGGCATTCAGGTACAGCGTCTTACTGACGATGAAGTATCTTTGATTTGCTTTACTTACAGGACCGGATGGAACTGTTTGTTTCACAAGCAGTAGAAACATGGAGATGAACTCGTCAGCAATGTTTTTTGTTTTGTTTTGTTTTGATATAATATAAAGTTTTCAGAGTTTTCTTGCTCACAGTTCAGTGCTTCAAAGGAGAAGCATCTGAAATCCCTCATATTGATATAATAATGTTATAAGTCTTTCCCTGGTTTTAAAAGCTTCATCACAGATGTGATGTATTTTACTGAACTTACCAAGACTGTTTGAGCTGTTCTTTTATTTGCATTTACTCACCTAGTAATTATATCCATAAAACTAATGATTATTTATCAAAACTCATATTGTGTGAATATTTTATGAAAGCTGTAGTAGCATTGTCAACCCTAGAATATCATCACAATATCTTTCTCCATATCGCCCAGCCCTAAGTTGTACACTTAGATGTCCTCTTGAATCCTAAATATCACTCATAACATGTCCTTTGTGTTGTCTGTTTCCCTCTCCAGGTCCGACAGCTCCTTCAGCTTCTTCTTCTTCTTTTTTGTCTTCTTTTTCCAAGTGGCAGTGTACATCATCCAGACTGTAGGGATCCCAAAGTGGGGGAACAGGTCAGTGAGAACAATTATCTGCATGCCGTGTGGTGTGAATGATAGTTGTTCATTGCTAACAAGGGTCTGTTTTCATCAGTAAGAATGATTCTGTGCTTTGGGTGGATTCGTAGTAATTTTGGGTTTGCATGGGTCCATGAGTTCACTTCATTCATGCCTATGTGTTTGTGTGTGTGTGTGTGTGTGTGTGTGTATTCTTTCCGTGTATCTCCTCTCTTGCATCTCTTTGACAGATTCCTGCTGCCCTAACTTGTCTGGGTTGCTTCTTTGTAAGTGTGTGGAACTTTTCTCTTTGGGTTACTTTTCTATATCATGTAATATATTAGGCTTTTCACTTTTCCATTATTCGCTTTGTCAAACTTCATGCTTTTCTATCGGTCACTGGGGCAGGTTAGGACGTTGGCTCATTTCTCTTTAATTCAGTCAGTTTCATATGATTATGAATGCCAGAAATATTCTGTTGTCTACTGTACAGCACACACTCACTGCAGAGGAAGTGTAAAATGACACAAGGCTGTTTGTTGTCTCTGTTGTTGACAGCGGATGGATCTCATCCATCAGCATGATCCGGTCAAACTTGGCTGTGGCTGTGGTCATGATGGTGGTGGCTGGTTTTTTCACTGTGAACGCCATCCTGGCTGTCATCCTCCTGAAAATGGTATGCTTATGTAAAACTTCTCCTCACAACAGAGACTCTTGAGTCGTGTTACAGTTTGCACTTTGCACATAATGTGGTCACTATTTGAATATTAACCAGTCAAGATAAACTTAATGTTTCTCTGGGTAGCTGACATTTTTCATCCCTTATTTTGCTTAAACTGCAGTCTAGACCAAAAAAGAAAGTCGAACATGGTGCAGTAGACATATATAAATATGGGTATTCCCACTGTGGCTTGAAATGGTTTGCTCCAACGCAGTGACAGCGCAAAGAGATCAAAGAGAGAAACATAACAAGAGAAACTAAAACTGGTGGTGACAAAAACTTGCAGTGCAGCTGCAATAAAAGGGGAACCAAGACATCAGAGGGAATATAAGGATTTAGAAACTGTTGAAAAGTTATACAGGTTCAGAAACACTGTAAGCAGGTCTGACTACAAACTGTTTATTTGGAAAGATTCGACCAAAATATACCACAATAGAGAAGATGGAGACATAAGCAGATACAAGGAGATGGAAACGAAATAAAAACTTAAAAAAAGAGAGAGATTTTCTTAAGGTCAGTAGCACTCTGTGGCCATGTTTGGACTCATGCCACATTTTTTGCACCCTCAAATCAATTGTTTTCAATGTAGACATGCAGAGGACATGCTCAAAAGCAAGAATGACACTGCTGTGGCGAGCAGGTGTTCCCAAGCGCCTGTTTTTCAGGGCGTGAAAGCTGCACCCTGCAATAAACGCAAGTTTTGGAACGCAGTACCACAGACTGCATGTCATATGACGAGGAACAATCAGTTACAGGCGCCAGATATCTTTCCTTTTTTCGTAAATACCAGTCTGTGGTAAATATGGAGGAGAAGTTGATCATCTTAGTGAAGGGTTACCCAGAGCTTTACGTCCCTGCCCATACACAAGATCAGCTCCAAACTCAGGATTTCTGGTAGGTACATTCGGTGCTGGTTATGGCTGCTCAGCAACTTCAGACGCAACCTGCCTCCCCTTGAAAGTTGGCACAGAGAAGCAATCGGCCTCCTAGGAACGCTGCTCAGCCTTGCAGCCAATTTTTCCCAGTGGTCATTCGCAGTATTACAGTGAAAAAATCCCTTGAAACCCCAAAAACATTTTCCCCATAGACCACCCTAATAAGAGACATCTGTGTAACTGTTGACAGACCACCTCAGACTGCAAACAAGATTGACTCTTTCTTGTATGAATTTTTGATCCAGGGTGGTTTTATATTTGTAAAACTTTCACGATTTAAAAATCTGTGATGTCATCACAATGTAAAGTCTATGAACCAAGTGGGAACTCCAGCTGTAAATCCAGAAGCTAGAAAACTATTTTGTGTTTGCGCCAGGCGAGCAACTTCACTGGAATGAATAGGTGCCATCTTGGCATCCAGTATCTAGTTATAATTAAAATCTATGGTAGCAGCCAGCGCCAACTATGTGTTTTCCAAGTGGTTAAAGACGCAGCATGTGTCCCGACTCATAAAAAGACTTTCATTTCATTTTAATAGCAAGTGTGTGCCCAATGTAAAGTCTGAAGGCCGTGTTGTCCTTCATTATAATCTGCAAATATGTGCTTCTGCTGTACACATCCAAATATGCATTGAAATACACATAGTGAAAGACAACCATTAAGTTTTTTCTTTCATTCAAAAAAATACAATAGCTCATGAGAAAACGTGAGCTCCTTGTGTTTTGTCCTTTGTTCTGATTTATGATCCTGTCACTGCCCTTATTTGTGCCCCTTTCTTTGTATCTCCAGGTCCACTCTAAGTACAGAAGGACAGGTGCCAGCTTCACCAAGGCCCAGCAGGAGTTCTCCAGCGGAGTCCTGACCAACCGAACCGTGCAGTCAGCTGCAGCCAGCGCCGCCACCTCCGTTGCCCAGGGAGCCTTTGGCAGGAGCTAGAGAAATTAGGCTGTTTCCCAACTCCTTCGTGCCTCAGGCTAGTCTCTTCTCTGACCAACCTGGCCATGTCCCAACATACTTCAATGGGTTTAGGGGATATGGGTTTGATATTTAATGAAAAAGGGCAAAAAAACAAGTAAGTTATGATGAGGGGAATTCTTCTCGCTACAAGATCAGCCCAGTGAAGTGTCCCTGTTCTCCACTTATAAAACAGAAAACAAGCTAGAGGTCTTATTCAAGCATGTAATGACTTGCACATGCCTTGGTTGTTATTGAACTCTTCACGACCCTCATCAGCAAATTCATGCTTTCAAAAGTTATTCTGGGAATTGTAGGGAATCCCAAACTGAAGTTGAATACAACAAGGCAAAGAAGGAGGCAGAGTGGGTACGACACAAAATAACTGGCAACACCTCATCACAGTATGACTAACTGGAACATATATTTAACATAGTCGACTAAAAATGTAAACGTGAGATTATCTGCAGTGAGCCACAGAACAGGGCTGGGGTACAGTGATAGAGTACATTTATTTAAATCCCGTCACTGTTAAATACGCTGGCGGAAAGTATTAGGATTCTTCCATCTCACAGTTCATGTAAGAATAATATACTGGGGCCTGAAAAATAAACACTGCAAAGCGTTGGGATTATAGAAGGAGCATACTTGACATGAAGATGTTTTACCATCATTGAATGATGGGTCCACATAATGTATGTATACATACTTTTGTCATTACAGCAGCATGAAGAGTGTTCAAGGGTAACCAAGCCATGCTGTCGTATGAACAGTTTTAATGTATACAGTACACTTCATACTACTGCTCCCCTGTAATGAGATGCATAATGTTAAATACTTCACTACTGATGAACACAGTTGCTTTCAATTTTGCTCACTAAGCTGTATGTTTTAACGTGTATAATAATAGTGCATAGGACAAACTGATGATTTATGAAGGTGATGGGATGAAGGTTTAATCTTTCTGTTGTTTTAATCAGTTTACTGATTTAGATGAAGTGAGACAAAGAGCTCTTGTTAGGGTGAATGAAGAAGCAGTTTAACTAAAATGGCACATTTTAATTGAGTTGTTAAAACCATTACGTTTTCTGTCATAGTATGGCACCTTGCTGGGATTAAACTGAAAGACAGGGTGCAGGTTATTTATGTAAAGTTACTGACATAGTATAGAGAGAGACTTATCTACTTAGAGGAGTGTATTAAAGGGAAGCTTTGGTATATTTCAACCTGGACCCTATTTCCCCATGTTTGTGTGTCTAAAGCTTTACTCGCAAGGGACTAGTGTTACCTGGGGACCTTATGTGATTCAGAAATTACCCCTCATGACTGTGTTTCTTGTAGCACATTCGCACAGGATAAGCAAAGTCTGTATTTTACTCAGATTAACTGACATTATCCCCCCGGATATGATGCACACAGTCGTTTGTAACTCTGTTCTACGTAACACAGAAACATTACACAGCACCACCAGCAGTGATGTCATGTTAACATCCATTTTTTAATGTGGGTTAAACAAACAGAATCAATTCTGCCACACTTTGTCACATTTTATCCATCTCATCATCATTTGAGATTTCGACCCTCTCTGACATGACGTTCATTTATAATCAGCATCGCAGCCTCCGTAAAGAGGCAGGAAAGAAGCCATGGAGAGAACAAAAGAACTTGAATACAACCCCAAATCACCAAGATATCAATTTGCACGGGAATAAGATCACAGACAACCTCGGCAATTATTGCAAATAACCAGAGATCCCCAGGTAACACTTGTCCTGTGCGAACAGGGCTTCAGGGACTAATGGAGAAAACAGTTTTTGAATTGAGAGGGCTGCAGTCAGCAGCACTGAAACAGGCTGCGGTGTAACCACTCAGGGCAAGAGCACATGGTTCATTTACATCCACTGAAAGTTCTTGTTTTTGCCACTGAGAAGCTCGGGTTGTTTCAAGTAACTGACAACATTGTGAAAAGGACCCGACAGACATTTATCTTTACTTTTGCTTGGTCCGGGCTGTTTGTTACTGTCTCCCTGCAACAACTCCACTTGCGAGACGTCAGAAGAGAGATTTCTCCTTGAGTGAGACTTGGTTAGACACAATAACAAACAGATCGGATCAAAAGGTATAGAAAACGTTTTATTTTCTTCGTCTGACACTAAACAGTAATAACAATCTGAGCATGTCAGTGGCAAAACCAAGCACTTTTAGTGGTTCAACATAAGCCATTTTTACACAAAAATCCCGCAATTGGGCTGCAACAAAGACCCTTCATTACGCCGGCTACCCTTTTGTATACAGGGCCAAACAACAAAACAACACCACCACCATCATCATCATGATTTCAGACAGCATGCCAGCCTTCCAGAAGCAAAAAAGGTGTCACAGGCATGACAAGTAATGAACCAGGATGGCCTCTAGTGTGACAAATAACATACATGTTGACAGAGCTTTCTTAACAATAGCAATAGCATCCCATGTCCCTGTTAAATAGAGTTTGATCTCATCCTCTGTTTAGAAGGTAAGGAGCTTCCTCAATGAACTATCTCCCCAGTGTGTGAATATTTTTGGTCGCTGTTTTTCTTCCTTGAGTTAGCTGCTAACAGCTACTAGCTCTTTTTTAAATCTCCTGGCGATGAGTCACGCACATAACGTCATCAAAACCGTCCCGTCCTGCCTGCTGACCCTTTTACACTGATGTAAATTCAGTGCTGTTACCAACTCCACTGCCAGCTTATTGGCGAGACAACTCTGTCCCCCCATTCTGCTTTTGTACCTTTTTTTTTTTTTAAAGAATGTGAATAACAGCACAACACTCCCGCCTTTAACAGTGTAAAAGGGGCTATTGAGGGTGCGCCATCGCTTTGAAGGGTTACATTGCAGCATGTTTGCAGCTGTAGACTGCAGCACTCTTGCTCAATACTAAACCAGTTTAGGTATTGTTGTTCCCATTAGTCACTTCGACACAAAAACATGGGAGAATAGGGTCCAGGTTGAAAAACACTGAAGTTTCCCTTTAATGAGCACAAAGAACACAATAGTTATCTGTCGATTATCCATTCTTTTGACTTTATATGAATTGTACTGCAGATAAAAGTCACGTGTTACTGAATAGTCGCAGATTGTTTGTATTTTCTAGCTGCTTTCTACCTACTTGTTTTTAGGTATTTTCACATTTGTACTTGTGAATATTTACGCTGTCCTGTTACGACCTTTTTGTTACTGAAACACTAAATAATTTTGTCTAGGTGTAACCTCAGTGCCTTTCAGCTAAAGTTATGCACCAATGTTTGTGTAGGGATTTAAGCACAAGGCTGTTGGTTGTTAGTGGTTTGTCTGATTTTGTTTTTCTAAACAGAAATTTATTTTATGGTGAAGTTTCCCTTTCAACAATCATCCTGTGTATTAAGGTGTGTTGTACATATCGGTGCCTTATTTAAAACCTATTTACTGGAGGGGTATTTGCTGGAAATTGGTTCTCAGTCTTAACACTGAATAAAAAATAAGTCATTTTTTCCTCTTGAAAAACTGGATTGTGTTTAAGATGGCTCATTATATTAAGGTTATGATCCCTGTGGGTCAGTTACACAGTTTTCCCTGTTGTTAGATTCTTCTCTATTGTTCTCAGTCGTGCTCCTAATGAGAGCAGATCTGTTCCTAATGCACCAGCCTGTTCACTGTGCAGAGGTACAAAATAATTGACTCCATATTCAGTTCTGTAAAGGAACACCCCACACTGGTGACCTGCTGTGTAGTATGAAAAATGGAAACAGAAAATATCAAATGCAGCTGTGAGCAATACTGCACTGTAGAGGAGCAACACTCGCTGGTGATATTACATGATTCATAACTGTAGGTGTGATGTGGATGAAAATCGACTATATGAACTGATGTAAATGGCAGGAAATACTGTACATGGAGTAGGAGACTGTCTGAAATACTTCTGTACAGTTTTGTTAATCTGATTGCAGGTGTTAAGTCAAGGTTTAATACCATATGTCAAAAAAGACGTCTGATTCTGTCTTTGCTGCCTTATGTGGTGGAAAGAAACTCAGTCTATTTACTCAATTGCTGTTCTCAGGTACAAATTTAAGCTACTCTTTACTTGGGTATTTCTATTTTAGGCTACTTAAACTAAATTAAGCAGGACAAGCACATGATGAAATAATAACATGCAACAGATTGTTAAACATTAAACCAGCTGTTGTTAACCTTTTGGGTTGTGACCCCTTCTTGCTGGGGCTCCTGGTCACATTTTAGCAGTCTCACCAAAGAGACATTTTCCTTCTAGACTTATGAGATGGTTTAGATTTAAATAACTATTTTAATGATCGAATATTCAAATCAAATCAAGTTTAGTTATATAGCACATTTAAAAACCACCACAGTTGACCAACGTTCAGTACAAAGTAAATGAATGATGCTCAAATATGTATCAGTCTAACATGTACACGAGTATAAAACAGAATAACACCGGTAAGAACAATTACATACATAAAAGGATTATGAAATACTAAAATATTAAAATCACTACAAACAACCAAAGGCCATTGAAAACAGAAGTACAAAGTAACATCAAATTAAAATACTCAAAGTACAAGTACCTCAAAATTGCACTGAAGTACAGTACTTAGTTATATTCCACTACTGCATTTGAATAAATGGCCTTTGTTTTCACACTTTAACCCTCTCATGCATGAATTATGAATACCTCAGTCAAGATTTTTTTTCAAAGTGTTTTTATTCCTCTTTAGGTATGAAAAAAATAATTTATATTATGTGAAACTATAAAATTTAATTTTATTACTGTTAAACTAGTGTGTTTACATATTTTAACATGTTCTATAACTTGTCAAAATATTGTCTTGTAACAAAAAGTGCAGGTTATACTGTAATAATATAAATCAAATTATTTACAGTACAAACAGTCACTGCAGATCAACAAAGTTGCAGTAATAGCTAGTATTAATTGTATATAAAATATACCCAGCAATGTCCAGTTTAGTGGACAGATGAATAATTGAAATTTCCCCCCAACATGAAATCAATACTTGGAAATTCAAACAACCGTATTACTCCTTAAATACTACTTGATGTTACCAAATATTACCTGGAAGGGTCTCCTATTATAGAGGGACTGGCAAGATATTCCTGAACTGCATTCTGTCGGCCATCTTGGTTTTAAGAGATGTTTGTTGCACTTATAGCACCTGGCCAGTGTGGGGGTTATTGGGGTCCACTCATATACAACTATGGTATCAAAACCAGTGGCTTTTAAATAGCTGTTCAGTGTATTGATCACTATGTGGGTTAAAATGCAAAATATACTGACGGCCTCCCTGGCTGTGTATAAATCATGTCTCTTTAACCCAGGCTGGCAGACGAATGGATATATGACTGTAAAAGAATCTCTCTTAATACAAACCTAATTTCATTTGTTTAGTGTTATATAATTGTTGTATAACTCAACCTAAACATGATCATGTTATTGGTGGAGGCTGGTGAGGGCGGTGACACACATCAGCCTGAGAGACATTCATAAATCCAACCAGCTACTCCTCCGCATTCCTCTGACGTATCCATGGCAACAGCTTCTAGTGTTGATCATCCCAAGATGGCGGACGAGGAGAAAGCCACGGCGGTGAGTGTTAAACCAAAGCTAGTTACCGTGTTCTTCGGCAAACGCAAACATGCCACTTGGTGAAGTGATAGTGTGACACCTCCCGACTAAATGTAACGTCATGTTTTGAGTGTAGCCCTCGTAAAAACGCTCGTTATGTGAGTGTTAGCTACCTAAGTTAAGCTAGCCGTTTCTAAGTCGGAGCTAAGTTGATTAACGTTAACGTGCAGCTGGTAACTCTGTCTTTAATCTCAGCTGTCCAAAGGCAAGCTAACAACATGACAGCTAACAGCTAACGTTACAGCTACAGGCAGGTGACAACAACAGAAATGCGTAGGTAACATTACAGTGTAAGTGTGCGTTGATGAGCGTCGTTAGCTTTACACTGTAACTTTGATAACGGTATGAACAGTTCAGCTCTGCAGTCACTGAGGCTGGCTTCACCTCAGATCCTAGTTATGGTATGGCTGTCACGTAAAGCCTTCAGGGTGTGATAATTGGAAAGGATTCATGCACAAAACGTCAGAGATGAATCAATCCACAAGTGAGTCAAATGTAGGGAAAATGATGTGGAGCAAAACACTGGGATTGAGCATGCGCACAAGGAAGCTGTATCACAGCCATCTGTGATCACAGCCTACTGATTGATGTCATCTGTGAACTGGCTGATATTTCTGTTACATACAGGTGTCACCAGAGGTAGACAAGTAACTAAGTAGGCAACATTTTCTCAAGTACTGTCCTTAAACACAATTTTGACCTACTTTTACTTGAATATTTCTATTTCATGCTATTTTGTCCTGTTACCCCACTACATTTCAGAGGGGAACATTATACTTTTTACTCCACTACATTTATTGCAAACTTATAGCTACTGGTTACTTTTTATTTTCATTAATTTATATGTCCATACACAGCAAACAAAGTCACAATCAAAAAAATCTATAATAAACATTCCATGATTGAAAAAGAGCAGGGAGAGGAGAACAATCTAATTTTACCTGCCCCTCATTCAAAACACAAATTAATAAGAAATAGGCTTACAGTTAATAACCCAAACTTATTAACTAATCAGTATTTATTACATAGTAATTTCAGAAGGAAACATAAATGATTAAACAGAAATATTGGAAGCTATACACAGTGGAACAGCTCTGACATGTCTGTTCCATATAGTCCAATGATTTTTTTCCATAAAGAAAAAAAATGGCCATACAGATTAAAAATGACAAACAACAAACTCTTTTTGAAATGCCAAAGTGAGTATGTATGTGGGAGATCAACTACATATATATGGTATCTTTTTATGAATTTAACCATTTTTAACTGTAAAAAAAATTTGCAGTAGGGCATACAATTTAGGCGTCACATCACTGACCCTTATACATTTTCTTAAACTGAAAAATAGTCAGACAACCCTTTAAGTCATCTCTAAAGAATTCTATAGTTTAGCACCTGCCACTGGAATACACATCTGTTTTAGTGTAGTCAGTGCAAAGTATGCTTATATGACGTGATGCAGTACTATACTGCTGCCTACCTACAGATCTACTGCAGTCTACACCAGGGGTGTCAAATTCATTTTAGTTAATGGGCCACATACAGCCCAATTTGATCTCAGCTGGGCCGGACCAGTAAAACCGCTGCATAATAACCTACCCCATCAAATTTTTCCCTTTTTTTTAGTGTAAAGAATTACGTTCTAAAAATGTTCGTCCATTTACAAAACAAATGCTGAACAGCCTGAGATATCCTCAGAAAAATTATGTGCAAATTCAGTATGTCTCAGTTCTTTCTGCATTCAGTCAGTCTACTACTCACTTTCATTATATGTGACTATTTTCATAACTTTCCACTAAAATGGAAGCTATTGAAGACGTAGGTGAAGTCATCCCCTGCCTTATAAACCATTTACAATCTGAAGTTCTGTCACTGCCTCAGCAGCAGGATTCCACCCGTATTGTTTTGATACAGATTCTTTTGTACTGAAGCTGCTGGTTGACAATATTTTGCACAATATTCAGTATCTTTAAATACGACCACAGTGAGTATTCATTGTTATTCCAGAGAGCTGTATTCTGGTCAGGGTGGAAAAGCCTCTGAGGCAGTATTTTACATGAGGTATCTACTCAGTGTTTAAATTGCTCCTGAACCCTCTTAGCCTTCACAAGTGCATGAATATTAGGTGTGCAGAGTCATCTAGAGGGTGAACTGGACCTTTTGGCAGGCCGGATCTGACCCCCGGGCCGTATTTCTGACACGTGGTCCACACAGTAGTGTACAAAGTAAAGTAAAGTTGGCCACACATTGACACATTACAACCTAAAAATGCTCTTCTGTGTGTTCATTAGGGATAAAACTGAATAACATAATATTCTATAAAAAATATAAATAACTGTGAAAAGAGTCATACTGCATACAAAGTAATGGAGTAACGCCTGTGAGCTAGTTCAGGCAGTCAACTCGAGCTGCACTGATTCATACACACACGTCATACGTCATCTCCAAAACACACCCTCCCAATTTGGCGGCCTGTTTAAGCTACCACATCTTCTCAGAATCTTCCTTTGCCTTGTTAATGCTGCTGCTGCCCTGCATCAGTACTGCTGCTGGCTCTTTCAGCCCCACCTCCACCCCAGCATCCACCTGCAGGCTCCGGCTAAGGGGAAAATTATTTAATCATCACTCCCCAATATCTCATGTAAACATATCTGTGGGAGCGATGAGTCTGGAGTCTAGACGCCAAACTCAAACTATGTTCTGCTGTTAGAATAAACATTTAAAATGTGAGTTGTCTGACTGAACTTTTCTTTAGATACTATCAGACCATCTTGCTGATAATACTTCTATAACATTTTGAATTCAGTCATTTACCCAGTATGTATTTGTCATAACCTCTTAAACTTACTCA